TCTCTGTCTGGCGAGCGCACGCACCCTATAGCAAAAACCTCTCCAAAAAAAAAAAGGGAAAGGAATGATTGAAACATTCAAATAGCTAAGAAAATAAATATAGGAGAAAATTGTTAAAAATTCAGCATGCCAACAAGATGGTGGAATGGGACTTCCCATTACCACTCCCACAGAAATGACGACTCGAGGGAGCATCCATGCATGAAAATACTTTGACAAGAGCTAAGGACACCTCAGGAGAGAGTATAGCACCTGGATGTAGCACAGGATTAAAGGTGCATGGAAGGGAACCAGCAGTTAGCATGATGGCTATGTCGCTGGACTCTGACGTAGTTGACTGCGGTTCGCATCCTGGACCCGGTGACTTAAAACTCACGTCAGGCGCGTGTGCGTGCATGCCCAAGGTCCTGAGAGGAGAATGGAGGAGAAGGGATTGCAGAGTGACCATCCCCCCTGGGGGTGATTTCTTGCTTTCTGTCTCTATGTCTGTCTGTCTGTCTGGCGAGAGCACGTGCCCTATAGCAAAAAACCTCTCCCAAAAAATAAAAAATAAAAGGTGCATGGAAAAGGAAGGGCAATTTTTTAATCCATGTCACTCCTATACCAGCACAGGGGGATTTCCTCGTGTGGGGGAAGAGAGGGGTGTGAATATCAGATTGCCTTGGATTCCAACACCGATCACCCCAATGAAACTGCTGGGCAGGCTCCTGTGGTGCCAGGGTCAGACCAGACCTCAGCCCCAGGTCCTAGACCTGCCTGCTGACTTGATCTCTGGGCTATCCCACCACCAGGCTAATCTCAGGCTCTTGGACCAGCCCCAGTTGACAAGGCAACCCCCACAGAGTAAGGCTGTGCCCTGCCCTAAGGCCAGGGCAGCCCAGAACCAGGTTGGCCCACACAAGTCCCAGCTCCAGGCTTGTACCAGTGGCAGGTCAGAAGGAATGAATGGGGGGGGACCAGCAGGTGGAGTGGTAGTTAAGGTGCTAGACACGCCCGTGTGACCATGGTTTGAATCCTGGTCCTGGTGGCTCGCTTTCTCACTTCCTCTCTGGTCAAATTAAAATAAAAAAATGATTCTTAGAAGAAAGGAATGATTGGGAACCAGCAGTTAGCGTAATGCCTATGTCGCTGGACTCCCACGTAGTCGACTGTGGTTCACGTCCCGGACCCGGTGGCTTAAAACTCACGCTGGGCGCGTGTGCGCACATGCCCAAGATCCCGAGAGGAGAATGGAGGAGAAGAGATTGCGGTGTGACCATCCCCTCTGGGGGGGTGATTTCTCGCTTTCTGTCTCTCTGTCTCTCTCTCTGTCTGGCGAGCGCACGCACCCTATAGCAAAAACCTCTCCAAAAAAAAAAAGGGAAAGGAATGATTGAAACATTCAAATAGCTAAGAAAATAAATATAGGAGAAAATTGTTAAAAATTCAGCATGCCAACAAGATGGTGGAATGGGACTTCCCATTACCACTCCCACAGAAATGACGACTCGAGGGAGCATCCATGCATGAAAATACTTTGACAAGAGCTAAGGACACCTCAGGAGAGAGTATAGCACCTGGATGTAGCACAGGATTAAAGGTGCATGGAAGGGAACCAGCAGTTAGCATGATGGCTATGTCGCTGGACTCTGACGTAGTTGACTGCGGTTCGCATCCTGGACCCGGTGACTTAAAACTCACGTCAGGCGCGTGTGCGTGCATGCCCAAGGTCCTGAGAGGAGAATGGAGGAGAAGGGATTGCAGCGTGACCATCCCCCCTGGGGGTGATTTCTTGCTTTCTGTCTCTATGTCTGTCTGTCTGTCTGGCGAGAGCACGTGCCCTATAGCAAAAAACCTCTCCCAAAAAATAAAAAATAAAAGGTGCATGGAAAAGGAAGGGCAATTTTTTAATCCATGTCACTCCTATACCAGCACAGGGGGATTTCCTCGTGTGGGGGAAGAGAGGGGTGTGAATATCAGATTGCCTTGGATTCCAACACCGATCACCCCAATGAAACTGCTGGGCAGGCTCCTGTGGTGCCAGGGTCAGACCAGACCTCAGCCCCAGGTCCTAGACCTGCCTGCTGACTTGATCTCTGGGCTATCCCACCACCAGGCTAATCTCAGGCTCTTGGACCAGCCCCAGTTGACAAGGCAACCCCCACAGAGTAAGGCTGTGCCCTGCCCTAAGGCCAGGGCAGCCCAGAACCAGGTTGGCCCACACAAGTCCCAGCTCCAGGCTTGTACCAGTGGCAGGTCAGCACCTATGGCCTCAGATACCAGGAACACAGGCTTAAGGCCTACTCAATGCCATGTTGGTCCCTATATACCCATATGCTAGCATATCTGTCCCAGTACACCCCAGTGCTGGGCCTGCTCACTCAGGCACCAGGCACCAAAATTGTTCCTACAGCCCCAGGGTCCAGGCCAGCCCTAACAGACCCAGCCTCAAAGCCAGTCCACACAGCACCAGACCAGATTAGCACATACTCCCAAACTCCATGCCTGCTCCAGTGCCAGACTAGGGTCAAGTCTTTCTCCAGCAGACCCAGGGTCCAGGCCAGCCTTCATGGACATGGGACCTATGCACACTCTGCAGACTCAGGCTCCATACCCATCCCAGCACCAGACCATCCTCCAGCCACAGGCAGGTTTGAGGGGGATGAACTCCCTAGAGAGCTAGGCCTATCCTAGTGAATTCAGACTCCAGCCTCAACGCTTGCAGACTCAGACAACTGGGTCTGGGTACTAGGACCAACACCATGGACCTGGGCACCAAACCCATCCACCTAACAAGGATTAGGTCTGCCTGCCAAAGGATTCCAACAGCAATCCTGACCACAAGAAACTTACTGAATTTTAAAAAAGATTCTGAAACTGGGACCAGCAGTTAGCGTAATGGGTGTATCGCTGGACTCCCATGTAGTCGACCGCGATTCACGTCCTGGACCCAGTGACTTAAAACTCACGCCGGGCGAGTGTGCGTGCGTGCCCACGATCCCAAGAGGAGAATGGAGGAGAAGGGATTGCAACGTGGCCATCCCCCCGGGGAGTGATTTCTCACTTTCTGTCTCTCTGTCTCTGCCTGGTGAGCATACGTGCCCTATAGCAAAAACCTCTCCAAAAAAAAAAAAGATTCTGAAACTGAAAATATGATGAACTATGCGGCAGAATATCAACAGAAAAACTGATCAGAGAAAGAATCTGAACTCAAAGACGGGTATTTGAAAATATACAGTAAGAGAAAAAAATTTAAATGATTTTAAAAGCTTATGGGAATTTATGAGACAGAAACAAAAGAATAAATCCTTAAGCAGTAGACATTCAAGAAGAGAGAGTCAAAGGAGGTAGAAAGCTTAAAGAAATAATAACCAAACTTTCCAAATCTGGGGGAAAGATAAACATCCAAGTATAGGAAGATCAAAGGTGTCCAATCCGACTCAATCCAAACAAGATGATCATAACCAAACTCTCATAAAGCAAGGACAACAGAGTATCTTGAGGGATCAGCAGTTGGCATAATGGCTATGTCGCTGGACTCCCATGTAGTTGACCATGGTTCAAGTCCTGGGCCTGGTGGCTTAAACTCACTCTGGGCATGTGTCCAAGATCCCGAGAGGAGAATGGAGGAGAAGGGATCGCTGCGTGGCCATCTCCCCTGGGGGGTGATTTCTCGCTTTCTGTCTGTCTCTCTCTGTCTTTCTGGTGAGGGAACACACTCTACAGCAAAATAATTCTCCAAAAAAAAGAAAAAAGAGTATCTTGAAAGGAGCAGAGAAATATTACTATAAGGGAATTCCAGTAAGGTTAGCAGATTTCTTAGGAGAAATCCTATAGGCCAGGAGAAAGTGGAATGACATGTTCCGAGTGCTGAGGAGAAAAAAAAACAACTGCCAACCGAGAACACCGTAGCTGACAATGCTTCATCTCCTTCGGAAACATAGGAGAGTGAAAAGCCTTTCCAGGCAAACGAATGCTGGGGGAGTTCACCATCAAACCTGCCTTATAAAAAGTGCTAAAAGGAGGGACCAGCAGTTAGCGTAATGGCTATGTGGCTGGGACTCCCACGTAGTTGACCGTGGTTCGAGTCCTGGACCTCGTGGCTTAAACTCTTGCTGGGTGCTTGTGTGTGTGTGCCCAAGATCCCGAGAGGAGAATGGAGGAGAAGGGATTGTAGTGTGGCCATCCCCCCTGGGGGGTGAGTTTTCTCTCTCTCTGTCTCTCTCTGGCGAGCACACATGCCCTATAGCAAAAAAAAAAAAAAACTTCTCCAAAAAATAAAGTGCTAAAAGGAGTCCTTCAAGGGGACCAGCAGGTGGCGTGATGGTTAAGGCACTGGACACTCCCAGATGGCCGACCAGGACTTGAATCCTTGAATCTGGTGGCTTGTTTTCTCACTTCCTCTGTCTCTCACTCTCACCTTCTGTCTCTCTCTAGTCAACTTAAAAAATGAATGAATAACAAGTAAAGTATTATTTTTTAAAATGCCCATGGTATTTAAAAAAAAAAAGAGTTCGTCAAGCTAAAAGAAAAGGCTGCAGATTAGTAACATAAAAGCATAAAACTCACTGTAGGGGCTACCTGGTGGCACAGTGGTAAAATGAGACACTCAGGGAGGCAATCTTGAAATCCTGACCGCAAGGATAAATGGAGGATAGGAGCTACGTTGTGACCTGTGAGAAACAACAAAAGTCCCAATTTTATGCTGCCTAAGAGACTCACTTTTCTTTTAAAGATACACAGATTAAAAGTGAAGGGATAGAAAATTATATTCTGTGCAAATGGAAACCAAAAGATACCAAGAGTAGCCAGTACTTACTTCAGACTTTATAGGTGGCTGGCAGGTGGTGCGGTGGTTGAGGGCGCTGGACTCACGCTCGACTACAGTTCGAGTCCCAGACCTGGCGGCTTGCTTTCTTGCTTTCCCTCTCTCTCACTGTATCCCTTTCTGGTCAAATTAAACTAAGTAAATAAATAAATAAGGTTAAATGAAATAATTCTCTAAAGAGAAAAAGACTATAGTGCTCGCTTTGGCAGTACATATACTAGAATTGAAACAATACAGAGATTAGCATGGCCCCTGTGCAAGGATGACAGGCCAATTCATGGAGCATTCCACGTTTTTATTTAGTTTTTTGGAGAGGTTTTCGCTATATGGCACGTGCACTCGCCAGACAGAGAGAGACATAGAGACAGAAAGGGAGAAATCACCCCCCAGGGGGGATGGTCACGCCGCAATCCCTTCTCCATTCTCCTCTCGGGATCTTGGGCACGCACGCACACGTGCCCGGCGTGAGTTTTAAGCCACCGGGTCCAGGACGCGAACCGCGGTCGACTACGTGGGAGTCCAGCGACATAGCCATTACGCTAACTGCTGGTTCCCAGCATTCCACGTTTAAGGATAATTTCGGAGGCTGAGAAAATTGGTGGGTAGCTCCACAAGGTAAGTCTTCATGCTCGGTGATGTGATTCCACTGCAGAACCAGAGGACACTTGGGAGTATCTCCTTCCTGAAGAAGCAAACTCCTCGTTACCCCTGGGACCAGCAGTTAGCTTAATGGCTATGTCACTAGACTCCCATGTAGTCGACCACGGTTCGCGTCCCGGACCCAGTGGCTTAAAACTCATGCCAGGTGCATGGGCGTGCGTGCCCAAGATCTCAAGAGGAGAATGGAGGAGAATGGATTGGGTTGTTTCTCCCTTTCCTTTCCTCTGGCTCTCTCTAGCAAGGGCACGCCCTCTATGGCAAAAAAAAAAAAAAAAAAAAAAAGAAGCAAACTGCTCGTTACCCTTTAAGATAAACTATGCTTCTATTTTCTTTTTTTTTTGGAGAAGTTTTCGCTATAGGGCGCGTGCGCTCGCCAGACAGAGACAGAGAAAGCGAGAAATCACCCCCCAGGGGGGATGGCAACGCCGCAATCCCTTCTCCTCTGTTCTCCTCTCAGGATCTTGGGCACGCACGCACACGTGCCCGGCGTGAGTTTTAAGCCACCGGGTCCAGGACGCGAACCGCGGTCGACTACGTGGGAGTCCAGTGACATAGCCATTACGCTAACTGCTGGTCCCCCTCCTATTTTCTTCTGTTAACCTGATACCAATTGGGTCAGGGCTTTTTTTCCCCCATTTTTGGATTATGTTAAACTCTGACTCTGTCCAAATGAGTTCGCCTCCATTTTCAAATTTTAAGCAATCATATTTTCAATTTATATATTGTATTTCTTAATAACATTATGACCAAGAATTTTATGGCATTAATTTTTCAGTGTAGTTTGTTGCTTAAAATAATGTGATCATCAAAATGATACATATCATCACACTACTATTAACTAGGCTTCAATTTATCAGTGTTTATTTCATGTTAAATGTGTCCCTGTAAATAGCTGCAACCTGAAAAAAGGCTATAAAAAGAGACAAAAGAAGTCATTATATAAGTGGGTAAACTCATCCAGAAGATAAAACAATTATAAATATACTTGCATCAACATTGAAGCACCCAAATACACAAACCAAATATTAATAGATCCAAAGTGAGAGATACTGTAATACAGTAATAGAAGATTTCAATACCCCACTTTCAGCAATGGGCAGATCATCCATACAGAAAGTCCATAAGGAAATGCTGGACTTAACCTGGTACTTAAGGAAGCTAGATTCCATATGGCTGACCATGTGGTTCAAGTCCTGGACCCAGCAGCTTGAGAAATACACTAGGCACATGTATGTACATGTCTAAAATCCCAAAGGGAGAAGGAGATAGAGAAGGGATTATGGTGTGACCATTCCCCATGGGAGAGGCTTTGTCCTCTCCTCTTTCTCTGCCTGTTTCTGGTGAGTGCACATGCCCTCTAGAAAATAAAAATAAATAAAAAATAAAACTAGGCTCCAGGTACCAGCCCAGTACCTACAATCCCATACTGCAGAACAGATCCTGTGGACCCAAGAGAGAGCTCCAGTATAGATCTTTTACTAGGGCATAAAACGTAACCAATTAAGGGACCAGCAGTTAGCATAATGGCTATGTCACTGGATTCCCATGTAATCGACTGCGGTTCGCGCCCCGGACCCGGTGGCTTGAAATTCACGCCAGGCGTGTGTGCATGCGTGCCCAAGATCCCAAGGAGAATGGAGGAGACGGGATTGTGGCGTGGTCATCTCCCCGGGGGATGATTTCTCGCTTTCTGTCTCTCTGTCTCTGCCTGGCGAGCGCACGTGCCCTCACAAAAACCTCTCCAAAAATAAATAAATAAATAAAATAACCAATTAAGACAGCTGGAATCACAAGTGTTTCTAACCACAGTGGTATGAAAGTAGGAATAACAGAAGGAATATTAAAAAATTCACAAATACATGGAAATGGAAAAACTCCTGAACAACCAATGGGTGAAAGAAAAAAGAAAAATATCTTAAGACAAAAAAGTGGACATATAACATACCAAAGTTTATGGGATGCTGCAGAAGCAGTTTTATGAGGGAAATTTATAGCAATACATGCCCACATCTTGGGGTCAGCAGGTGGCATGGTGGTTAAGGTGCTGGACTCCCACATGGCTGATCAGTTTGAGTTCCAGACCTGGCAGCTTGCTTTCTCACTTTCTTCTCTCTCTGGTCAAATTAAAAATAAATAAATATATCTGGTCAAATTTAAATAAATAAATAGATGTCTACATCTAAAGAAGAAAGATCTCACATAAACAACCTAAAATTATACCTCAAGGAACTAAGAAGAATGAACTAAGCCCAGTTAATAGAAATAAACACGAGTAAGGAAATAGAAAAACAAAATAGAGATTAGAGAAACAACAGGGAAAAAATCAGAAAAACAAATGGTTTTTGAAAATATGAAATGGACAAACCTGGAACAAAAAAAAAAAAAAAGAAATAAATATAACTGAAATGAAAGACACATGGGCCCACCCCATAAGCCTACTAGCTAAGAGATTGGATTGGGTCCCCACATGGCTGACTATGGCTCAAATCCTGGACCCGGCAGCTTGAACAACATGCCAGGTGCATGTATGTGAACATCCAAAGGACTGCTTTCTCCTCCCCCTCTGTCTTGTCTCTGGTGAATGCAAGCACACTGTACACAGGAGGAAAAAAATCACATGAAAAAGGTTTTACCAGAAGTAGCAGGTGGCATAGTGGTTAAAGGCACCAGACTCTCATGTAGTAGACCGTGGTATGAGTTTCTGGTGGATTGAAACTCATGCTGGATGCATGTGCAAGCATGTGTGCCCCAAGTCTCGAGGTGAGAATGAGAGAAGGGATTGCAATGTGGCATTTACCACAGTGTGATTTCTCTGTTGCATGTTCATGTGCCCTATAGCAAAAATTTCTTAAAAAAAAAAATTATTTTGGGGCCGGCAAGTAGCATGGTGGTTAAAGGCGCTGGACTCCCACATGGCGAACCATGGTGCAAGTCTTGGATCTGGTGGCTTGCTTTCTCACTTCCTCTCTCTCTCTCTGATCAAACTGGAAAAAAATAATGATAGTAATAATAAAGTTAAATAAAATAGTTCTTTAAAAAAATTATTTTAAAAAGGTTTTACCTGTTTTTTAGAACTTAAATAATCCAGGGACCAGCAGGTGGTGTGGTGGTTAAGGTGCTGGACACTCCCACATGGCCGACCACGGTTCGAGTCCTGAACCTGGTGGCTTGCTTTCTCACTTCCTCTTTCTCTCTTTCTCACCTGCTGTCTCTCTCTGGTCAAACTAAAAAAAATAAATAAACAAATGAATAAAATAAAATAAATAATTATTTTTTTAAAAAAGAACTTAATCCAAAAGCAAAACTAATTTACATTCAACTCTCATTTGAATATTGTGAAGTTGCTTTCCTATGATTGAATGGTCAAATGTGTTGAGAATAATCAAATGCTATTGAATAATCTGGAACCAAATATGGCATTTCTGAAATAGTGAAAATTAGAGTATATAAATTTGGAAATATCAACTCTATGGTAATTTTGGTTAACATTTAGCAATATGAGTAGAATTTGTGATATTTGTTACACAATCCCAAGGATTCCTCCCTTTTTTTTTTTTTCTTCGAAATGGGAAATAGCTCTTTTCTGGCTGGAACCATGGAGGGCATTCAAGAGATGAAAAATAAGGTTCTTGCTGGGGCAGAAAGCAAGAAAAAGACTCCTGCTGCCTGGAATCCACCAAGAAAAAGATTCCTACTGTACCAGAAACCCTTAAGAAAGTGAGGAATTTTGCGGAGCTTAAGATCAAGTACCTGAGGTTTGCTCAAAAGATGCTTTGAAAGGCAAGGAGGAAGCTTATCTATGAAAAAGCTAAGCACTATTATAAGGAATATAGGCAGATGCACAGAACTGAGATTCTCAGGGCCAGGATGGCAAGAAAAAGCTAGCAACTTCTATGTACCTGCAGAATCCAAATTGGCATTCGTTGTCAGGATCAGAGGTATCAATGGAGTGAGCCCAAAGGTTTGAAAAGTATTGGCAGTTTCTTCGTCATTGCCAGATCTTCAATGGCACCTTTGTTAAGTTCGACAAGGCCTCAATTAACATGCTGAGAATTGTGGGACCACGTATTGCATAGGGGTACCAGAACCTGAAGTCAGTAAATAAACTGATCTACAAGCGTGGTAATGGCAAGTTTATACTGTTGGAAAACGGTTCAAAGAAGCAAATAACTTCCTGTGGCCCTTCAAATTACCTTCTCCATGAGGAAGAATGAAAGACCACCTATTTTGTATAAAGTGGAGATGCTGGCAACAGGGAAGACCAAATCAACAGACTTATTAGAAGGATGAACTAAGGTATCCACCATGATTATTTCTATAATCTGGTCAGTAAATAAACAAAGTGGCTGTTTTCAGACTGGAAAAAAAAAAAAAGGAAATAAATCACTATCCAATCTTCCTGGTTATTTATTGGAAGGAAAAAAAGTGGACAGTTGGCTGTAACAGTTAAAATAACAAGCAGGAGGTCCAGTTTTTCATTTTCATAGGTAGCTTTATTTGGTTTTTAGAAAAATATATACAATAATCAGAACCTTAGTTCTCTTAAATAGTTTTAAATTAAAAGTTTGCAAAGTGAGAGGATGAATGTATTTCCACACTTAGAACACCAATACTGCTTAATATCATAGTAGACAGGAATTTCTGCAGTAAGTCAAAAACATTTACAGGAATGGTTAAGAATTAGCAAGAGCAGCTTGTGGCGGGCTAAGTTAGCCAGCTCAGACAACACTTAGGAGACAGAGGTTTGATCCTTCCCTTTAGTTTGAATTTGAGAGGAGGAATTAAAGGCTTACATATTCACCTATCCTACTGGCTATACCTTTGAATAAAAACATTTGAATTTGGGGGGACAAGGGCACCGCCCTCTAGGATGTATGCTAACAAGCTACCTTGGATCAAATCAAAGCTAGCCATTTCAATTTGGTATTGCATTAGTGTTCGATTTAGATACATTAGGATTACTTGTCAGTCTCAGTTCACTTGGTAGCAGATTTAACAAAACTCATGGGCTTAGAGTATTAATGCTATTTATTTTGGATTAGACCCCTGCTTTCTCTTGAACATTCTTCTTAATGAATTCACAGTATCCAACAGTGTTTGCAAAGGATGTCTGTTTCAGTTTGGCAGCCCTCTGACTTCTACACAGTTTTGAGAGATTGAGCAAGAAGGCAATAGGAATTGCCTTAACTTTGTCAACTCTGCCCTTTCCCCTCCATGCTGTGGTCCGGTAACTCCAGGATACCGACAGGAGCACAGATCTTCCCTCCATTGGTTCTGGGGCTTTTTCAGGAATCTCAGTCTATTCAGTGCGCTAGCCAGAGGCCAGTTTGTCATGGGAATCTCCTGGAGAGTTTAAAGGGAACTGGATTGTTGAAACGATACCACTGACCACCTCCTCTCCTGCTGCCTGCATTTGCTAAACAGGCAAACGTCATGAGCAACATCTGGCTTTGGAGCCTGCAAACATTCATCTGAATGGGAGAGAGAGGTAATAGGAAATAGGTAAAATAGTAGTTTAAGAATGAGAGGAGAGGGATCGGTATTTGGTTCTCTGTTCATCTATTTCCTGCTTGGTTTTCTTGATGCAACTAAAGATCTCCTTAAACAGCGCTTTGTACTCTGGAGGTGTCGTGGTGGTGGGGGAACTGATGGGTTCTGGAGTAACAGAGGCCGGTTCCCAGCTGCTGGTGCCAGCCTCGGGCTGGGCGTTCCCTCCAGTTAGGTCCCTGGCTGGAGCCCTGGAGGTCTGCACAGCCTTGTGTGACAGGGAGTCCTGTTCCTGCTGGCACTTCCTCAGTAGCTCTTCGTACTTCACCTTCAGGGCACTGTACTGAGTGTCCACCTCATGCAGAAGGGAGATGCCTCTCTGCTTCACAGCTTTGGCCCGCCTGATGCAAGTCTCCTCGTGACCCCTCACGATGTCACCCCCTGCCAAGCTGCTGAGGACCGTTTCGCTGCTACTGCGCTTGAGAGGCTTCCTATGCACTTCCGGAACAGACAGGAACATCTCCTCCAGCAGGTTCTGGCTCGGCTCTTTGAAGGGAACGAACAGAGAGTCTGACACCAGCTTCTCCACCCCATTCACAAATGGATGCTCCGACTGCAACATCTGCCGCATCTCTGCCACCTCGGCCTCCAGTTCCAGCGCCCGGGCTCGGTAGGCATCTGAGGCCCCCAGCTGCTGCTCCAGTTCGCTGTTCTCTTTCAGCATGAGTCCGTACTCTTCCTCCAGAGTCACCCGCTTCTGCCGCTCCAGGCTCAGCTGGGCCTGCAGCATCGTCACCGTCTTCTTCAAGTGCTCATTTTCCTCTTCATCAGGGCTTTGCTGGTTTTGCAAGGAAGTGATCTTCTCGGCAAACACATGATCGTACACAAAGTGTCTAGGGAAAAATGTATTACGAGAATATGTTATACAGGCAAACTGAGAATGAAAATAAGACTGATGAGTTTTTTAACTAAATGTTTCAGAGGAGCTGTGACAATGATTTTTTTTTTTAAAGAGAGATATTGTTCTATAGGGCACGTGCTCCCACCAGAAAGAGAGAAAACGAGAAATCACCCCCTGGGGGGATGGCCATGCCACAATCCCTTCTCCTCCATTCTCCTCTTCGTATTTTGGGCACGCACACATACACCCTGGGCGTGAGTTTAAGCCACTGGGTCTGGGACTTGCACTGCAGTAGACGACATGGGAGTCCAGCGACATTAACCATTATGCTATCTGCTGCTGGACAGTGATAGATTTTTAGCCTATTCCATAACAGAGCCGTGGCTAAAATAAAGTGTGTGAATCTAGTAAATAAACATGAAATAAGCATAATTTTTATGGCTAAGTTTTTTTTTTTTTTTTAACTTTAAAAACACTCTATACCATTCCCATTCCCAGAGACCAGAACTATGATGGCTGCTTACAAGGAACTGGAAGGGCCCAGTGGTTCTCAACCTTGGCTGCAGATCAGAACCACCTGGGGAGCCTTAAAAAGTGGGATGCCTAGGTTCTACCCCACACAGTCAGACCTAGTTGGTCTGTTGCCCGGACTTAGGGGTTTTTCAAAGCTCTCCAGTGGTTCATACCATGTAGCCAAAGTTGAGAAGCACTGCTGTGATGACTTGTAACTAGGAATGGGCAGCAGAAACACCTGGGCAACTTTTCTCACAACTAGAAACTCTGACTTCCACCTGAGAGAATTCTGAAAAAACTCTACATGGAATTTCATATATAGTTGAGGTTGAGAAGCACCAAATAAACCAGCTGTGCTCCTTCCTGTTGGGTTACTTGGAACTGTATTCATTTATGTGCCTTTTTGCTTATCTGCCTCATCATTAAACTGGATGAGGGTATGACTGTGTCTACTCTGGTCACCACTTATCATGTCTGACATGACACCTGCTGTACAACAGATATTCAATAAATAGTTTTGTTATTTGCCATATGGTGTGTGCACTCACCAGGAAGACACAGAAAAAGACAAAAAGAGGGAAAGTGGGAAATCACCCCTCCCCGCAGGGGATGGCCATGTTGCGATCCTTCCTTCATTTTCCTTTAGGGATTTTGGGCACATATGCACATGTGCCTGGCATGATTTTCAAGTCACCGGGTCCAGGACTTGAACCATGGTCAACAATGTGTGAGTCTAGCACCTTAACCATGACACTACCTGCTGGCCTCTAAATAGTTGTTAAAAGATTCAAAACTGTAACTCTGAATTATAAAGGCATTTCTTTAGGCAAAAAATAAAATAAAACAAAACAAAAAAATCCTTTATTCACCAGAACTTTTGTTTTACTGGTATTTCCACATTTTTCTCTAATGTTAAATATAACCCTCAAGTCTGTAGTCTGCCAGGAGTAATTCACCTTATTTTAAACTAAGATTTAACATATTAAAAGCACTGAAGTAGGGGCCAGCAGGTGGAGTGGTGGTTAAGGTGCTGGATCCCACGTGGCTTCCTATTTGGTTCAAGTCCAGAACCTGGTAGCTTAAAAAACACACCGGGCACATGTGTGTGCACACCCAAAATCTCAACAGGAGAATGGAAAAGGGATTGTGTTGTGGCTGGCTCCTTGGGGGGTTGATTTCTCACTTTATCTCTCTGTCTCTCTGGTGGGCACACACGCCCTATGGCAGAAACTTAAAAAAAAATCCATTTCACAGATTATTACTAATATCCAAGAAACTCTATAGCTTATATGTTTCCATTCTGTGGTTTTGCTCAAACCACTGGCAGTTTTAAATAGCCAAGTGTTGCTCCTTAAGATGGCACTCCTAATCTACTGGAATCTGGAACGTGTCATTAAACATGCAGCAGTCCCTGCTCATTGATCCGCAGAAAGGCAGGCTCTTACTGGCGGAGGTCATACAGCTCTTTCAGATAGGAGAAGCTGGGTGCCGAGTTTTCCTGGTCACATCTTCCCTGGTTCCTTCTCCTCTGGCCAGATGACTTCAACTCCTCCACTTGGCTCTGGAGGTGATCAATGTTGGTTTGTAGGCATTCGATTGTTTCAGTCAGGCTGTAAGAAACAGAAGAAAGAGCCTAAATTCTGTCATACTAAATTTAAGGGCAGAAGCAGTGAGGAGAGATTAGCTGCAAGCCACTCAAATAGGCTTCCTTAATTGGAAAGGACTTCTAATCCAAGCTCCGTTCTCCAGAAAGAATTAAATTAAGGCTTACCCCATTTTGCCCAAACCCACTACAGCTACTTTCTATTCTAGTTCATGCTAAAGACCCTCCCCACAGAGCTTCCTCTATAGAGTCTAGAAAACGTACCTCAGAATTTTTTGCTGCGAGGCCTTGCTGTCAGCAACTAGCTTCTGATTTGTTTCTTCTAGTTCCCTTGCTGTGACATCTAACTGCTCATAGACCTTTGCATGCTGTTCATTCATTTGCCGTAGAAGTTCCACTTGCTTGGTCAGATACTGTTAAGAGAAAATTGGGACCAGGTGAGACAAACAAGTAAAATGCCTGTACTATCCCAACACCAATTCTCTAAAACCAGCCAGTGTGGGGTGGGGCAAGGGTGGAGCCTCTATCTCTGGGCTCGCCATCCTCACAGCACATCGTGTTCACCAACCTGGAAGATCTCTTAGCTTCTTTTCAGAGTTTTATAGAAGCTTCACTACATAGGCAGGATTGATTAAACTACCACCGGTGACTTAACTCGAACTCCAACCCACCCCTTCCCAGAGGTTGGGGGTTAGGGCTGATGGTTCCAACTCTTTAATCACATGGTTAGTTGCACTGGTCCCTAGTCCTCAGTCAGGAAATTCCAAGGGTTTTAGGAGCTTTAGGCCAGAAGAAAGGGACAAAGACCAACTATATCATTTAACTGTATACATCGCCACAAGTTATTTTAGGAAAATAACTTTAAATATCAATTAAACTACCTGTCTTAGTAAGAAATGAACACAGACTATCCTTCACATGCTTCGCTCCTCTAATGCTTACCAATATCCCTGTGCACTATGAGGTGGTCTAATTTACAAAGCACATAACATGTTTAAAATTAAAATAATAAGGGAACCAGCAGTTAGCGTAATGGCTATGTCGCTGGACTCCCACGTAGTCGACCGCGGTTCCCGTCCCGGACCCTGTGGCTTAAAACTCACGCCGGGCACGTGTGCATGCGTGCCCAAGATCCCGAGAGGAGAATGGAGGAGAAGGGATTGCGGCGTGACCATCCCCCCTGGGGGTTGATTTCTCGCTTTCTGTCTCTATGTCTCTCTCTGTCTGTCTGGCGAGCGCACGTGCCCTATAGCGAAAAAACCTCTAAAAAAATTAAAATAATAACATGCATAAAATTAATATTCAACAGGAAAACTTAAGTGAAACACGATACTCTCAAAAGTATGGCACATGCAAAGTTAAAGCAAAGATACGTTTACTAGAAATAACAAAGCCCAAAGTAGAAGGTTTTAGGTGATTTTTCACTTCAAAAAATGTTTTTCTCTGAATGAGGCTTCTTGCACAAAAAGTAGTGCAAAGTACATTTATTTAACCAGATACGCTTCAAAGACCTCTGTTATCTTATATTCTGTGGGCATGTTATCACCAGCACCCTCCTTATTTGTGAGAAACTGACTAGATCACTTATTTGTTTCTATTAAAACTGCTTTCTAAATGGCCAAAGATAAAGAAGATAAAGGGGGAATGATCACAATCTTAATGCTTTTTTTTTTTTGGAGAGGTTTTTCGCCATAGGGCGCGTGCGCTCGCCAGACAGAGAGACAGAGAGACAGAGAGACAGAAAGCGAGAAATCACCCCCCAGGGGGGACGGCCACGCCGCAATCCCTTCTCCTCCACTCTCCTCTCGGGATCTTGGGCACGCACGCACACATGCCCAGCGTGAGTTCTAAGCCACCAGGTCCGGGACGGGAACCGCGGTCGACTACGTGGGAGTCCAGCGACAAAGCCATTACGCTAACTGCTGGTTCCCTCTTAATGCTTTTTTTAAAAAAATAGTTAGATCTTTATTGTAAACATTGATCTGCTAAATTAGAGTTTTCCACCAACTCTGGGAGTAGCCTTCACAGGCTTTCTGATCTTCTGCTTAGGTGCTGTCTTTGTGGGAGCCTTAGTGGCAGCCATTGCTGTCTTCTTAGAAGCTTATTAGCCTTTTGCTTCCTTGGCAGTCCTCACAGCTTGTTCTGCTGAGTCTTTCTAACTTCAGGTTTTGGGTTCCTCTTGGCCATCTTATCAGCAAGAGATGAACCAGGGATAGTCCTTTGGAATTTGACTGCATGGCAGGTCCTTTTCTTTTGAATTTCTTCCCACTGTTCCTTTTTGTGCTTTTGTCTGTAGAGAACAGTTGAGTTTATCCACTGAGGATTCCTCTTGGAAAGGAATGCTGACTCGTATTTTGCATTAAGAAATTGGAAAACCTTCCCATTGGTCCTAGCGTAGTGGCTCCGTGTCAAGGGTAGATCTTGCACCCGCCGAACTGCACAGATCGACCTTCATCGGCAGTGGCTTTGGGGAAATGCCCCATTGTTAAGTGATCTTGATTCCCTCCCATACTCAACTCTATCTGAAGACACTAAAACAGTATGCAGTGTCCCAAATGAAAACATTCCTAATATTTCTATGGACACAACCAAAAAGGGGGAAAAAAAGGAGGTGTGAAGCATTATCAATGACCAAATAAGACGGATGATTGATTTTATAAGCACTCTTTTTTCAAAGCTTCTTATATAACTCTAAAGTTGACTTCTTTCAAAGAACTACTAAATTATATTCAGTGCCCTCTTACTTAAAGCATTGAATGAGCACATATGGCCTTTTCTCAAATCTATCGGGTCACCGGGGAAGTCATGACTTATTTTTCTACACAGAACTGCATCATGACTTCCCCGAAAACCCAACAGTTACATCACGGGGTTGCGATGTGTTAAGCAAACACTTGACCTCTCTTTAACTTCAATTTTCTCACCTGAAACTTTAGGGGCCATAAGTTTTTGGAAAATTATTTGGGGGCCAGCAGGTGGCATGGTGGTTAAAAAGCACTGGACACTGGGAACCAGTAGTTAGTGTAATGGCTATGTCGCTGGACTCCCACGTAGTCGACCGTGGTTCACGTCCCGGACCCGGTGGCTTAAAACTCACACCGGGCACGTGTGCGTGCGTGCCCAAGATCCCGAGGGGAGAATGGAGGAGAAGGGATTGCGGCGTGACCATCCCCCCTGGGGGGTGATTTCTCGCTTTCTGTCTCTATGTCTCTCTCTGTCTGTCTGGCGAGCGCACGCGCCCTATAGCGAAAGTCTTTAAAAAAAAAAATAGACAAAAGCACTGGACACGCACATGGCTGACTGTGGTTCGAGTCCCAGACCTGGTGGCTTGCTTTCTCACTTTCCCTCTATCTCTCACTCTGTCCCTTGTTGGTCATATTTTTAAAAAATAATAATGTTAAATAAAATAATTCTTAAAAATCTTAAAAAAAACAAAAACAAAAGAAAATTCTTTGAATACCAGAAAGAAAACTTGGCACTCATATCTTGCACCTTATAATACACCCTATGAGGTCTGGGCAAGACCCTGTAATCAAGTATTCATATTTCTGCATCAGAAAGTATGAATAAAAGTATAAACAGCCTCACATCAGCTCAGGTCTGGATTTACTGACAAAAGAATTTGCTACAAACTTAAAGGAAAAATACTGCTTTGGAACTGATAAGAGGTTGGAGATTTGTTAGTTCCAACTCCGTAAAACTGACAGAATTAAATAAGTGAGCATATGGCATCGTGTCTACAAAAGCCTGGGTTTATTCTTCAATGCCTCAGTCCCCACCAGCTTCTCTCTTGGAAATCACCAGTAATTTTCACAGGGGATGCGTTCTCAGAACTACAGGAGTACTTTAACCCTGCCCTCCCTCTAGCACTGCTAGAGCAGGTTCCTGTCATTGATGGGAATGTATTCAATTGCTTAGGAATACAGGAGTGGAAATAAGGTTTAGAATCATAGGAATACATATAATAGCTGCAGAAATTTTTTAAGCTACTTCATGTCAAGTAGAAAGTCTTAAGAGTAGTTTCTGGGGACTGATTCATGACTACCTTAAAAGAGACAAATGTATAAACCAGCCACTAATGTATAAATTTCTAGCAGAAGTTGTTTTGTTTCTGCCCAATGACCAGAATGGTCACATCCTCTATATAGGATGCATCTGCCCTTTATGTAAAGGGTACATGAAAGGCCAGCTTGTGACCAGAAACATTTTGGTGGCAAAGGTCAGAGTCTGATGGGAGCTAAGAGCACAGGCTTTGGTTTGAAGTTTTACTTTGCCATTTACAACTGAGTGATCTTCGGCATGTAACTTTTTTTTTTTTTGAAGAGGTTTTTGCTATAGGGCATGTGCACTCGTCAGACAGACAGAGACAGAGAGACAGAAAGCAAGAAATCACTCCCCAGGGGGGGATGGCCACGCCATAATCCCTTCTCCTCTCAGGATCTTGGGCACGCACGCACACGTGCCCAGCGTGAGTTTTAAGCCACCGGGTCCTGGACGCGAAACCGTGGTCGACCACGTGGGAGTCCAGTGACATAGCCATTATGCTAACTGCTGGTCCCAGCACATAACTTGATTTTTCTAGGATGAGGTCTCTGCTACTTCCTCAAAAAGCTATAAAGATTGGGAACCAGCAGTTAGCGTAATGGCTATCTATGTCGCTGGACTCCCATGTAGTCGACCACAGGGCGCGTGTGCGTGCGTGCCCAAGATCCCGAGAGGAGAATGGAGGAGAAGGGATTGCGGCGTGACCATCCCCCTTGGGGGTGATTTCTCGCTTTCTGTCTCTATGTCTCTCTCTCTCTGTCTGGCGAGCGCACGCGCCCTATAGTGAAAAACCTCTCAAAAATAAAAAGTTATAAAGATTAATATATTTATAGGAGACCAGAATATGTCACCCCAAAATATGCCTCTTTGGTAAAAGAATTACTGAGCTAAAGACAATAAAGCGGCAGCTACAGGGAGACTCTATGCCCTCTCCCCCTCCCTTTTGTGCTTAAAAGCAGGACACAGGTTTATAAAGACATTTCTACCAGGGAGAACAAAGATTAACCACTGAAAACAACTTTAGACCCTTATGGGCTAGGGGACAGCACCACAGGAATCTATGTTAACAAGTTTTAAAGACTAGCACCCCCTCCTCGCCCGTTTAATCTACAGGGACATGTGTACACAGGGAATGGGGGAACATCCCTCAATGCGGTATGGACATACTGCAATTCTTTTCCTCCATCTGTCCAAACCACCAGGATTTGGGGCTGGGATTCAAACCACAGTTGTCCATGTGGGATCTGGCTCCCTTAACTGCTAAGAACTGTTAAACCAAATCTGGCCTAAAGATGTCTCAATATGTGAATCCTTAAGTAATGACAAGCTAACTTAGAATGTAAACAAAGTGAAAGCCTAACTCAGGACT